GTAGAGCAGCATATAAAATGGAGGGTGTGATTTGAATACAAAAAGTAGGAAGGGAAGGAAGGAAGCAGGGAGGGGCAGCAATGCTAGAAGAGGCAAACAAGCAAGAAACCCATAGGGACAAATGGGTCACAAAAGGCAATCCAGGGAATGAGATAAGAATCCGTAGTCCCTGTTTAAATCAGACTTAACACAATCCAGTCTGTGGATGATTTTTTGTTCAGCAATGGAGCATCTAGGGAAGTTGAATTTTTCTTCATGTTGTTCTGGAGTTGGTGTCGGATTGGTGTTCATCCATTCTTACATACAATGTAGGTAGCAGAGGGGTACTGTAAGCAGGTGGAGGCACATATGAAGTTGGAAGAGGTGCGGGTAAATGAACCTCAGATGTTATCAGTGTTGTTTCATCCAGTGATGACATGGTCTGTATTAATGAGGGGACACAGCTGGAACCTGGGTCCATTGCAAGGCCTGAGGCCTTAGCGCGAATGGAAGTTAGGTAGCCTTTTGCTTGAGAGACACCATTTGGAGAGGGGTGGAGGGCTGTCCACAAGCCAGGACAGATTTGTCCCCTGTGGCTACCTTGAGATAGTCTTTCCAAGTGGGGTTAGAGGTCATTAAAGATGTGTCTAAGGTGCTCAGGCTTGGGGCTGCAGGTGACAGCCAGAGGGATTCTGTTGTCCTTGTTCTGGAGTTGGCACTGTAGTAGGTTAGAGTAAGGTCTGCATCTGGCTTTGTTGATTTGAGCAGCCACCATTTGGGATTGTGTTGTAATTGTAGAAATCCCTGCTCAGATTCTTTAGTTATAGACTTCCTGGTCAGTGGGAGCAGAGCAGATACAGATGCAGTATTGCCAACTCTCATGATTTTTGGTGTTGTTCTTAAAGTCTACGCTTCAGGAATGTGAAAAACTTAGCTCTTTCTTATATATGTATATAAATATATATAAAAGAAAAAACTAAGTTTTTCACACTCCCAAAGCATAGACTTTAAGAACAACACAAAAAATCATGAGTTGGCAATACTGCAGATGTAATGTAGAACTTGGATATAGGCAATGGATCTCATGGTGTGCTCAGGACAGAAGCTGGTGGCATGAAGGTAGCTGTGGTGGTTGGTTGGTTTCCAATACAACGTAGTGGCAATTGCAGTAGTGCACAGGCAGGACTGCCTGCCTCCTTCTCTGCTACCTTAACAAGGCTATTGAAACAAGCTGTATTCATGCTAGTGGCACATTACAGCCAGTGAAATGCTAACTAAAATAAATCCAGATATCTCCGTGGAAAAGAGATAATAGCTCTTTGTCCCCACAGTACCTTTCCTTATGAGAAAGGATTACCTGATGGGATGCTATTAGTGTTGGACTTGATAAACCTTGATCTCTGAAGAGAAGCAAGAAGGTGGCGGTAGGAAGTTATTTTCTGCATATTAACCAGGCTACGTTGGACAATTTTCTGAACCAGGAAGAAGAGCCTATTTTTTGTATAACTTCCCTGCTCAAATTCTGAGCATGCAATAGAGGCAAGAGGGCCAAATCTTTTAACTAGCATAATTCAACAAATAGCAACAAGTTTGCACCAGCTGGGAATCAGGTCCTGATGGAGGAAAACCTCTTCTTTTGGCCACACTGCTAAACTATCTATATCCCAAGTCTGATGAAGGACTGCAGAAGATATCTGACAGAGCTGGCTCAGAAGGTGCAACAACCCTTTTGTAATTTTTAATTAGCAACTTTTGAGACAAGAGTTTTTCTCCAATTTTCTTAATTGACTAGAGCTTGTTTAGAGAAAGAGATGTATTTGTGCTGCGAGAGTCCTGGCAAAAGACACAGGAACTAAAACAATCAAAGTGAATTCAAGGGTAATATGCTGCACTCTAACCCAGCTGGGCCCAAGTATTGCAGTGCTAGTTTTAATAAAGTAGGCAGAGGTATCTGAAAGATCAAGATTCAATTCTTTGGAGGGCCAGAGAGTCAGGCTTCTACTTCTTCTCCATTTGTATAAACCAAAAGGGATATACCAAATATAGAGAGGCATGCCATAATGAGTAGTAACAGAAATGTTAAACGAAACTCAAGTGTTGGGTTTGGCAAAAGAGATCAAAGTATGTTCTGGCTGAAGTGTGATACCATTGTTAATCATCTGAATCTGAACATACAATTTCAGCAGGAGATCCTCATTTACTTAGATTACTGTGTAAGTGATAGATGAATGGTTTTTAGGGCTGATTAATAATGGAAAAGAAAAGGTAAGTGTGGTAAGACAAATTGAGGCATGTGACACTAATTGCTAGACTCTGTGGTTTCACAGACAGCAGCTTCCACATACAGTATTTGTATCTTTGACAGTTAATTATACCTAGATATATCACCAAGTCCCTTACAATTACACAGAATAGTTATAAGCATTATAGCGTCAAATATTCCAGCTGCGCCAATTTTTTTTTATAATTTCCCCCTTTTATCCTTTAGCTTCTACTGTAGCTCTTTCAATACTTGCAAATTGCATTGTTATGTCTCTACACCAGTGGTTTTCAAACTTCCTAAAGTCACAGAACCCTTTCATATCACTTCTGCCACAGAACCCTAAAGACTGATGCAGAGCCAGGACCCTAGCCTGGCAACAGCAGCACACTGCCTCCTGGCCTGCTTGGCTATTACCTCTAGTCCCTTTGCAGAACCCTGAAGACCTATTGTGGACCCCCACGGTTCCATGGAACAGTTTGAAAACCATTGCTGTACATGATAGCCTATGGCAAGCTCAAGCCATTTCTATTAGAGTGCTACTTCTGCCAAAGGTGGGCTGATTGACATTAAGCTCCCCAATGTAGAGATGGTTTTTTGTATCCATGTTGCTTATCTATAATCTGTGCCATTGCAGTGACGTTTTGCTTTCCATTTCTTTTGTGTTGATGGGCGTGGGCTGATCGAACCTGTGTGCAGTTCCCCCTCCCACAAAACATAATTCCCAGAGGTTTTACCTAACCATTTGAAAAGCCTGTTTTCTATTCCTTTAGTCTGGGCACTGCTTATTGGTGGCTGCTGTTTTTAAGAACTGCTACGTTTTGAAAAATCCATGGTCAAACATTGTTCTCCTGAAAACTGAAACACACACACGTCAAATCTTTCAAGAGTCACAAACAACTGGGCTTGCATTTGTAGACTAATACTAATCTAAACTAAACCAGATTCAAGGGTTACTTAAGCATGGCTCTTCCTTTGTAGAATCGGATTCTCACTTCTTAGCTCCTTGGGTTTGATTCCTTTTCAGCTAAGGTACGCAAGTAAAGTGGTGGCATCTCCCAAACACCAGAGGGAGACATCACTTGCAGTAAACTGCCCAAGTGTGTGACATTCCTAGCACCCACACATGAGCAAAGAAATTACTAACAGTGTTGATATTTAAGTCATCCCCAAGCTTAATTCAGCTGCCCATGTTGAGATGAATGGGGAACTGCTTTGCTTACTTCTTAGAGGCAATCTGGAGATGTCTTTCTGTATTGGTTACACTATTCACACTTTGCAGGTTTTCTTTGGAACTGTAATAGTGAAAGATTTACTTACTTAAAAAACAAAGTCAAGATTCTGGTGATGAGAGGGGTAGTTGGAGAGCATAAGATCAGTGGAGGCACCAGCTGAATCCAAGTCCTGGCCCTCAGTACATTTTGGGTCTTCTGCACCAACAGCCTAGACCAGGGATAGGCTACTAGGCCTGTGCGAGTAGGCAGCTATTCAATCTGGCTTCAGATCCAGTCGCTTCAGAAGCTTCGGAGCCGCCTCAGAGATCCAGCCATAGGGTATAATGGGGAATCAATGAAATATCTATAACTTTTTTGTTTTTTTTCTTATTTGGATGAAAATTGCAGAGGGAGGAATCTCTGCTGAGAGCATGAAGCCTGCCAAGTTTCAAGAAGATGGGTGCTGGGTCCTGGGCGGCACAGGACCCAGCCACAAGCACTTATCTCCAGATCAGCTCAGAGAGTGCCTGCAGCCAAAGCCCCTGCCTCCAACATGACTGAAACCCATGTCTGTGGACCAAATCCAGTGGTTCTGCAGACTGGATTGGGCCTATGGGCTGTAGGCCGCCAACCCCTGGCCTGACTCTAGTACCTAGAAGCATCCTAGTTCTTTCTATCCTGCATGGAAAAACTGACCAACAGAACTAAATCAGTATAACCTGCAGTTAGTTACCCCGCCGTAAAATAGTTCTGTCCACACCAGTACCATCTTATGCTGGCATTAGTTTACTGCAGCCTAACAGCACTGCATATGTAGAGAGTGACACTTTATTCTGAAGCTAATTAGTCTACTCTGCAGCTAAGCGTATGTGTAGATGTGGCCTGTATGAACATACTATTCTGGAATAAAGTGACTTTTTTTGGTATATGTATTCCTATCCAAAACAACTTGTCAGACCAATAAACTTTATAGGCTGGAGAAACAGCCAAGAGCTTAATTTGAATGCCATACCTGAAACTAGCCTAGATAAGGATTTAGAGAGAGAAAATACAAACCACTTTAACATGAGTAGCACAAACAACAGATTCAAGCGTGTTTCAATAAAGAACCATAAATGCAGACTCCTGTGAATTGGACTAATTTTATGGATACAATTTCCTAAGTCACTTAGGCACTTTGGAAAAAAATACTCTATGTAACAGATAAGGATTAAAACAAAGATAATTGGACAGAGACAAATTGTGATAATTTTAATTAGTTTTTGTTGATAGCTTAAAAAAAAAAAAAAGAGAGGGTTGCTTGAGAACAGTAGGATAGTTTTACTAACAGCACACACACAAAAGCCCCCAGGGTTTGCTGCTAATGTTTCTACACAGAAAAAAAGAAAGCAACTGATGTATCCACTAAGTCCATGTCTGTGTTATTACAGGCAAAGGTGACTTTGTCTGCTTTCATTTCAGGCCAATTACAGTACTTAGGTACTATAATGATAAACACTGTAGAAAAGCTGATAGCCTAAGTATCTCTTATATGCTGGTTTAAACACTTTTTCAACTAAAGGAAGAAATACGAGAAATAAATACACATGTCAAACATCCAGTCTTATGTCCGACTCCGACAGAAGAAATGAAGTAGAGAAGGAATACAATCAATTTATTAGTACTCTATAACACATCTTTTCCATGGTTGAATCTGACCTCCCTGAAGGCGTGTATGTGAATCCGGAATGAAACAGGCTTTCTTATTTTTTAAATAAAAATGTAAGGTATAAAACTCCATTTTTTTTAAAAAAAGTCCTCAGTTGCTTTGATAAACTATATCAACAGTCTTGGAGATGGCAGTTTCCACAACTGACACAAATTAGTCTCCTTTGCTCTGAAATAACATCCCTCACTCCAACTCAAGTCGAGGTAAGACAGGAAGAATAAGATTTCCAAAAGCAGAGTCTTGAGTTATGAAGTATCCCGAAGAATGTGCATGTGCATGCTGAAAGGCAAAAATACTCATTAAATCAACTTCCACGGCACCAATATAAATTATAACCTAACTACTACAGACCTATTCAAGTCCCTAACTTGCATCCAAGAGCTTTGGCTCAATCACACTTCAGACTCACATCTCATTTCTCCAAGCTATGTTCTTTGGATTAGGGCAAGTACCTCAACCTCCTTTTGTTCATTTTTTTGAAGCTCTCTAGTACACTAGGGTTGTTACTAGAAACAAAAGTAATCTTCATTGTATGTACCACTGCTCTAGACCCATGGAAAACAAGTGAGAAGAGGGAACAGCCATTGTATTTTAGTTTAGCTTCAAAATACAAGAGGCATCACCTAGGGACAAATCCTTCAAGGGAATTTAGAAGTGTCCAACAAATCAGTCTGGCTTATTTACAGACCTCTGAAGAGCAGTTTTCTCAGCTCCTCTAGGAAAGGATGACTGAGAGAAGCTCTGTCACAAACTGCTGTGTATTATTAAAAGGATCATGCCCCTCCTTCCAACCCTGTGTTGGTGAAGCTGAAAAGGAAAAAACTCACTATTTTGTTGTTGTAATAGGGAGCCAGAGGCTCGCTGTTACTTTAAGGGAACACCTTAAAGCAGCAGGGAGAACTCCAGGTGGGATAGTCTGCCTGTAAAGAGCATCAGAAGAACAGGCTGCCGGGGTACTTTGGGCTGCAAGAGCTTACGGCTGAGCTCGCTGCTCTGCAGTAGTACAACAAGGCAGAGCACTCACTGTAGACCTAGTTGCCCTGCAGTAGTACCAGGGAGCAGGTCCACAGCTCCTAGCTCAGCAGCTGTAAGTTGCTCTACAGGTCAGCCAGCAAGCCTAAAAAACAACTTTGGGCAGCTGTGGGAGGAGGCAGGGGAGAGGCACATGACCTGGAGGGACTAGGCTTAGGCAACATAAACTCATAGGCTTGAGCCCAGAAGGCAGTCTGTCTGCAGGCTGGCAGGGAAGAGCTCCTCCATGAGGACTGT